CGGTCGAAATAACAGACTCGTAACATGGTATATCTAGGATCTAGTGAGCCCTATTTTTTGGTGAAAATATTGATCCMTGAGCCCGATTMTCAYCAAATRTTTGATCCCTGAGCCCGTKCAAAMATKTTGAGCCCATTTAAGTTGTTTGCTCAAGAATTGCTTTGAATAGTGTCCAAAATATCTTAGCTAAAACCGAAGGAGGTCTCCTTATACAGTATGACAAACAAATATACATAATAACACAAGTAGTGTCATGGCTCGAATTAGGAGGAATTGAATCAGGGTCTGAATGGGGTTAACTGTTAACTGAGAAACGGATAAAATAATAAAATAATAATTTCGGGTTTATTTAGCTGATAACTGATATTTAGCTGATATTCCTTTGTTTGCACATGTTATGCATGTAAGTGCACCTTGTTTCCAGGGCTTCTCTGTTGCTGTTGTTGTTTTGTTTTTTTTTCAAAAATGGCGGTCACGTGACACCGACTCTCATTGGATGTTTAGTTTGGAATAACGCTGAATGCAGGCGCCAAAAAAGATACGACCACGAAGACAATTCCTTCGCTTTGCATGTGCTACCACACGTACTCTGGCAGGTACCACCGCTTCGTGCGAACGATCAAAGATGCCTTTTTTCGTTGTTAAGTCACAAAAAATTTCATTTTCTGGGGGGAATGCCCCCGTACACCCCTAAAAAGTCGCGCCTTCGGTGCTCATCAGCCTCCCACATAATCAACCGCTCCCGGCACGGTCCCTGTCTACCTATCACGTGTGATATCAACTTTATTTCACGGCTTTATATAACTACTGATGCATTTTAAAAAGTTGACTTGATCAAAGCCATCTATCATCATTATGAAAGGCATGGTAAAAGTATTAGTTTGCTACTATAGAAAAGGGGAGGAGGTAGTACACTTAGAGAGTTATCGAAGTTCCAATATTGACTACAGTGTTCAAAGCTCAGTATTAAAGCTGAAGAACCATTTGGGGAATTTTCTTAGCTTGAAAGAACACTGTTAAAACATACTTTTCTTAATAACTGAATATTTAGTTGTTAATTATTACACAAAAATAATAATTAACATGTGGCTTAACTGAGAACCGAGAAATTTAACTGATAACTGAGAAAATTGCCAAAAACGTTTTTTACCTCGTTTGATGGCAACGCAGGAAAATTTAGAAGAAAAGAAAGACTTAATTTTCAGATATTCCAGAACGACCACGCCACCTAAAGATGAGATCGAATTACCTGACTGCACGGAACAGTGCACGAACCTCATCGGTATTCGGAACAACTTCGGAAACGATGCTTTTCCGTATATTCCGCAGTTTAAATTAGTGCTTTTTAGATACTTCTTTTACAGAACAATTAAAAATGATTTTAACTCAAATTAAATGCATTATTATTATAGTATCCCGATTTTTTTCTCTTGAGCCGTGAGCCTMMCWSTTTGAGCCCAGAGCCCAACCAAGATTTCGGAATTGAGCCCGGCCATTTGAGCAATGAGCCCTGAGCCCATATACCATGTTACGAGTCTGAAATAAGTTTAAACGAAAATTTAATTAAAAATAAGGCAAAAAATCACATTCTGCTGTGCTTGTCTTCATTGTAGCTCTAATTGTAGGTCATAGTAGTTTATTGTAGCTCATTGTAGGTCATTGTAGCTCAACTGTTTCTTTGGGGAAATATTCTTTTCCTTTCTTCATTTTCTTTTCAATATTTTTACAATATTAATAGCTTATGGTGACATCACAATGATGCAGCCAGTTCCCGGAAACGCCACGCTTCACGCTTACTTTTCCAAGAAACAAGGCAAGGCTTGGTCTGTATTTTTTTCCTTCCAAATCTACATCTCACAAGATGGAATCATTCATCGAAGACCTAAAGAGTCGGGTACAGTGTTTGCTCTGTAATGAGACGATGAATGAACCGAAGTTGTTGCAGTGTTTCCACACATTTTGTAAGCGTTGTATCAAAACAAATGCACAACTCGACGGAACTGATGGACAAGTCAACGTCTTCAAATGTCSCCAGTGTTCGTCGCAAACCATGCTTCAACAACTCAACGATGTGGAAGACTTAAAAACCAGCCTCATCCACTCAAGAATCCTACGAGTGTTATCGTTTCTAGAGAACCAAAAGGTATGTTGGGTTACAGTGAGTCATTGTGAGGCGTTATGGCGATGTCTAGACTGTGATTGCTCGTTATGTGACGGGTGTCTGAGTAGTCATTCTAAATTTACCAAGAATCATGCAGTCGTTTCATTGTCTAACCTGACGAAGGAAGACGTTGAAACAATGATGAAAAAGGAAGAGTCGTGTAACACCCACATCAATCAAAACGTTGGATGGTATTGCCGAGACTGTGATGATCTCATTTGTTTGAATTGCATAAATGATCACACCCACGACAAGCATGACTTGTCATCCCTACAGGAGTTCATCATCAACGAGAAAGAAGTCCTGTTTAAAAACCTTGATAAAATCGAGAGATTGACTACTAACGAAGAGGAAAGAAAACAGCAAGAAGAAATAGCCATTGATGTCCGAGATTATGGTCAAAAAGCTAAAGAAAATGTCAAGAAAGTAACAAAAGCCATGGTAAAAGCACTGATTGATCGGGAACAAGAACTTCTAGATGAGATCCAGAAAAACATAACAAGAGCTGAAAGGAATTTACGAATATTGAATCACATCCCAGCAGCACAAGACTACATACAATACTTCGCTCAAAATGGAAAAGCGAGTGAAATGATGGAAATTCGAGATGAACAAAGCTCTGAAAAATTCAGTTATGAACCATTCCAACAAGATGTCGGTGGAATCCATTTCAAACCCAATGCTGGCCTTCAGTCTCAAGTGGCATTGGGACAAGGTGAAGTAGCACTGTTTAAAAAGGCCGATGCAAAGTTGTGTTTATTGAAAGTGGAACCAGACATACATGTACAGGCTATGACAACCACGAAGCTGACGATAGTCTTGAACACTGCAGAAGAAAAATCAGCCAATGAATCTCTGGATAACATAACCATACAGGTCACCCCTGGAGAAGACGTGCAGATAGGTGAAAAACGGATGAACATTGATGGTGAGGCAACAATTGACTTAACTGTTCGTGTTCCTGGTCAGGTAACTGCGGATGTTGAAATACGTGGAAATCCTGTATCTAACAGTCCAGTTGTGATGGACATTAAACCACAATGTATACCGTTAAAAGATCTACAGTTGAAAAGAGATTTGAATATAGGATCAAAAAACTTTAACGGCATAACAGTAAATAAGACAAATGATAGAATTGCTGTAGCAGATTGCTCATCACACTGCGTTAGAGTCTTCAACATGGAAGGGGATTTGTTACTGAAATTTGGTAGCGAAGGTAGTGGCCAAAGACAGTATAAAAATCCAATGGGTTTAGCATTTCTCAGCAAGACCGATTTAGTCATTGCTGACAATAACAACCACAGAATATGCATTYTGGACACCATTGCAGGAAAAACATTGAAAGTATTTGGTTGCCATGGTAATGGAAATGGGCAGCTCATGCATCCCAATGGGGTATGTGTTGATGATGCTTCTAACATCTTTGTATGCRACAATGGCAATCATCGTATACAGGTGTTCTCTGGTAATGGTGCTTATCTATATCAGTACAGCTTGCCAAATGGAAATCCTTATGATATAATCAAACATGAAGGACTGTTTTATGTCAGTGATTTCAGTTCATCAGTAGTTTACGTGCTTGAAAAAAAGAACAAACAGCTTCCAACTACTATTAGGACCATTGGTGGAAGGGACTGCACTGCTGTTCAGCTCAATCAACCCCGAGGTTTGGCTATTGACAGCGACAACAATCTACTAGTGTGTAATGGTGGTGATGGCCAAATATACAAGTTTGCTTTGGATGGTCGTTACATAGGCAAGACAAATGAACCTTTTTGTCGAAGCAGAATCACAAGCAGCAACACTTGCTCCTATATTGCAGCAGTTCTTTTTGACACAATTATGTTTACCACATTGGATGTAGGCTTGTTTGCCATTTAAACTCTATACAGACCAATGACCACATATCTCAGCAAAGAAAAATTCAAGACTATCTGCAGAATGTATGGATACAGGGAGCTGGAAAAATTCCATGCCAACTAAGGTCAATATACAAGTGATGAAACTCAAAAGACTGTAGATAACATATATTTTGATGTATATTCATTCTTACATTTTCTTTAGAATGAAATGATTTTTACAGTCATTTGAAGAGCCTACAGCACCTAAAATATGTCTGTTAAAGGAAAACTGATCTGATGCTTACAGATGAAKTTTATTGGTTTTAACACAGCTTTTACGAGGTTGCTTACATAGCTATATTCCATGCATAATTAAATGTGCTCACAGGTCTTTTCAAACGACTGTAACACCAAATATAAAACAAAAAMTGTTGACAGCATGAAATAATACGTTTGTTTTTTGTATGTTATGTTGATGTCATTATTATGCCCACCTGTTGCAAACACATTCAGAAAATACTACGGTGAGCTCAAAATACTGATACTAGCTGTAGAGTATCTAAAATCTAAAGTTTGAATGTTTGATTCTGCTTATAATCTCAGCTCAGGGACTCTGAAAACAGCCTCAATGTTTTACCACACATCAGTTACAATAAAAATAACTTTAGTTATAGTGTTGCCACATTGTGAATAATCTCCCTTATAATGCACAGACTGTAGAGTCTCTTAACTCACAGAAAGCACTTACTTGAATTATTGTATCTATAATTTGATTTTACTTGATATGAATTGTAATTTTAATTAATTGTTTGTAATTTGTAATTGGCTGATGAATAGGCTACTTGCACGATGGTGTCACATACTAAAAGACCAGAAAGCTTTGCCTTCTTTCTTGCTTGTGAATGTAGTTAGTCCCTATYGCTTTACCAATCTCCAAAGGAGAAATATGCTGGGCATTCTGGTAGTGGTGTAAATTGACACCATAATGCATATTGCCTACTGTATTGGCCGTGTTTGGATATATTAAAAAGATGTTTTAAGAATTCAAGGTTTGATCAGACCACTGTCACTCGTTTTGCTTCAAATCCTTTATTTTGTCTATTTTTCTTTTCCTAAATATATTCTAATTGTTAATTTAGAGTATTCACTGAGATGCACTAGTTAATGAGCTTGCAGCTGATGGTAAATCTTCAATGCCGGCTGCTTGGGATATTGGACTGGTACCTATTGATACTGTCCTTGTTCTCTGTATATTTTGGTGTTTGGAGTCTGCAAGTGCTAGTTGGAGATTTAAGATATGGCATTCTATGGACTGATTCATTTTTTTCTGGGCATCATACTTTTCTTCTAGAGCCTAACAAAGGAAAAGTATTCTATTAATTTTAGATGTTTGTATATTGGCAGATAACAAGACGAACATTTCAAAATGTAATTAAATTATGGTTCCATGGAAAATAACCCCATCATATGAGAGAGCACCATACAAAAGGCTTTTAAGTTTCATGATATTTGAATTTATAGCAATAAAGGTACAGGCATTTAAACTATGCCAAGCGTCCAGCCAAACATATATTCTTTGTAATTTTATAAATTTTTGAAAAATGATATTTCCATTTCTGATGACCTAAACTTACTCAAACTTTGCAAACTTATATGTTCTTTATGTATTGACAAGAGATTTCTGTACATTTTATATCCTCGGAAACCTAGGGGTTTTTCTTCCGTCGTTCGTTCCTCACTCCCAGAAAAAATACCCCTGGGCACCAAGTCTGTTAGACCTGACTCGTTAGACCTTGTTCTCGATTCGAAATTCAAAATGGCAGCCAGTAAGTTAATCAACCAATCAGAACGTTCGAGTGAATCACTCGACCAATCAGAAATTTACCGGCTGCCATGTTGAATTTCGAATAGAGAACAAGGTCTAACAGACTTCGTGCCCAGGGGTATTCTTTCTGAGGAACGAACGACAGAAAATTGCCCCTGGGTTCCCGAGGATGTACATTTTATCACTTTTAAAATAGTCAGTCCCAGTCCCCTGCTCATTTTGTTATTGGCTAATTTTCTGAGTATGCAAGAAAAATTCAAACTGGGAGCCAATACCCTAAGTGCCCATATGGCACTGCCATAACTGAATACTCTTCATTTCTTACACAATAATTTATGATATCCTTAAAACATTCAGGACAATCCTATTGAAGGTCCTATTGGGGAATTCTGTTCCATGGCCTTTGTGGTGTTTTACTTCTATGAAACTATTATAACATAACAATACCTTTGATATTTATTGTTTGAGTACTTTCTTTTTCAACATTATAAATATGGCAATAATATACTAATTAGTGGCAGCTATTTCTGAATGTCGTCACAAAGATTTTTTTACTATTTCAGTTTATTTTAAACTTAGTAAACTTTACCTTCAATTTTGATTCAAATATGCCATTTGAACTTTCAGACAATTTCTTGAGTTCTTTTATCTCAATGTCCCTTTTTGCTAGTGTCATCTCAAGGTCAGCTATTTTAGACTGCAAGGCATCGATTTCAGCCTTCTGCTTTCTTGCAGTTTGTTTTGATGCTATGGGAAATGATAAGAAATTATATCAATCGGCAATGAGCACAGAGACATCACTTTCAAGAACAAAGTATTCTGGGTTCAAATAATCATAGTCCTCACACTAAAGATAATACCACACTAAATATGTTTCAAGGACTATTCTAAGTACTAATAATAATATCTTCGAGCCCCACCCACCCACCCAACCAAGGGCGTGTTACGAGGTATACATGCGGGTATTCCGCTGTCCATAACCATGGACAGCTTCCATTTTCAAGACTTCCATATCTTAATGTAATACTCGCATGTATTATTAAATTCTGTGGATATACTACTATTCAAAGGGCTACTTGGACGAAAATTGCGAAAACTTTAGAAAAGACTTTGAAATAAAATAGACCTATCAATATGGGTCGAATAATCATGAAGCAACAGATTTCAAGAAGATATTGATACAAATCCTTAATAATTTGAGCAACAAATGTTGGAGTAGATGGCGTCATTTACTCCATTATTTTGTTCTTCCATCTTTTGAATCCAACTTTCTCTGATGTCGGATAATTCCAAAACAAATATTTTCCCAAAATTGTTTTCAATAGATATAAATGAGTCATATATTTGTACTGCTTGAAGTTTTGAAATAAGGTCATTTTCATGCAAKTATAGGACTTTCAAACCATCGTCCTTGGATTTCATTAATATGTGGATTGGTGCAAGCCCCCTTAACCAGAGATAACTATGCTTTATATGCCAGTAAGAGCAGTTTCACAGTAGACGATACTACCATTTACCTGTCAACTCCTTTTGACATGACTGCAGGTGCAGACTACCTTCAGGATTTTTTTGATTTTGATGTGCAGACTTCTCAAGAAGATCTTTGCGATGCTGGTTAATTTCTCCCATTACAAGCAGTTCTTTGGTCAGTYTGTCTAATTCCGATTTTAAGAGTTCCTTTTCTTCCAGCTTTGGCTTTAAGTGTTCTCTCTCTTGTTCCAGAGAAAATATCTTGGACTGGGCTTCATCTAAATTCTTAAGAATAGAAAATCAAATGCAATTGTCATTATTATATAAATAGGCAGAGTGTAGACTTGCCACAAGTCCAACTCTCTTTGGTCTCACAAAAAATAAGGAAATTTCAATAATTGAGCTAAAGTTTAAAAGGTTAAATGAGCAGGAATAGCACAAAAAAGAGACTTTTTGAAAGTCTAGACCGTGTACAGCAAATATGGGGGTCACAGTCTTTTCACTTTTCATATGTCCTAAAAATCTTGCTATAAGCTGATATGATTACTTTATGATTGATCTTAAGACATTTTGACTGTCAAAATAAATACTATCAATTATTTAGGATTGCAGATGTTTTAGAATTAAGCAGTTAATTGGTCATCAAACTGCAGTTGGATCAATTCCAAATATTTGGTCTAATTGCATCTGTTCTGTACAAAGCACTAAATAAAATCCACTGTAGGAATTTCTAACTGTGTCTGACCATCAAAATGGCTGCCATGGTTTTGCAGTGACTCAAACAAAATACAGCAATAAATTCCTGTGAATGCAGCTCCATTTGAGGAACAAAACAATGAACTGAAGTTTGCAATAGTTTGTTGTCATTGCTGTTGTTGTTGTTGAAGTTTGGGATCACATAGAAGGGGTCTATATCTAAATATTAGGTGAACATACCACTTTGAGCCAAATGTACTGCTTTTTCTGATCCTCCAAAGACTCTTTTAAAGTTTTCTTATCATGCTGCAGTTGAGCATTTTCATTTAATAAATTCCTACAAAACAAAATGACAACAAAATGAATGGATAAAACAATGAAAACCCTACTTTTACTATTAAGTGTTTTTTTTTACCTTAATTGAGTCTGTTGCTGGTTGTCCCAGGTTGATGTGATTTCCTTAAATTTGCTGTTTAATCAAAAATACTTGTTTTAAACAATCTCCAACATCAAACTCTAATATTTAATATATCAACTCCTCTACAATGGTTTGTATGGTGTTGTTAAAAGTACAAGGGCAATGCATGAGGAAGGGTTTGAAGTCTTCCAGCTTTGGTTTGAGGCTTCAAGGCTGTGAAAATAGCGATTGACTGCAAAACTGCATGTTTGGATTCACACTAAACAAACTGTTGAACTATCTGAAAATGTGCAACCTTATTGATTTGGTAATTAAAGTCTCAGACTTCAATGGTTTTGTTTGCAAAGGAAGTTAGGGCTATTGAACACCTCATACCCACCCTTCAATAATGGTCTGTAGGGTGGAAATGAATTGAATTATTTATATCATATAACTATTCATAAGCTGTAAAGGATTAACATATTTTATAGTTCATTTCAATTCAACTAAATTTATCTAAAAAAATATGATTCAAAAGGAAACCATTCTAAAACAGGCATAAAACCTATCAAACTATTCTATAAAGGCCTTAATTTGCGGATAACATACGTTTGCTGTCCATTTATCGGTGCATGCTTCGTTCATAAAGAAACCAAGTGATGAAAGGCTTAGACAGTGGGAATGCAAGGTGGGGGCTTGAGATGGGTATGAAATGCGGCATGCCAGGTCAAGAGAGGTTAGAGGTTGGGAAGGCAAAGAACAATAAATAAGGAAAATACAAATCCTTACAGATTATCCTCAGTTTGCTTGACCAATGCTTCTGTCAACTCTCTCATTTTTTCTTCTTGAAGCTTCAAGTGATCTTTCTATATGAGTTAAACAACTAATTATAAAAAGTGGGTGTTGTAGGTATTGACATTTTAAAGTGCCTGTAACACCAAACAACAGAACAATAATAATCAAATATTTAAAAATAGTAAAGTTCTAGAGCTTTGAACAATTGTGATGTCATAGGCACACTCTAAAAAGTTCACATAGCGAGGGGATGGCTTTGAATAATATAATGAGTTCAATGATAGTCAAAATGTTTGTGACATTGCCACCAAATTGTGGAATTGTAAAACTACTACAAGTTAATGTGCAAAGAGTTGATGTTACCCCTCAAAGGCCCAACTCAAAAATACACCTACATTGTATATATATGATTCCAGAAACCTTGTACAATAATGGCATACCTACACTACAGAAATTCAGTTTGCACTTACAATAGCTAGGAGCTCTTCTTGGTACTGAACAGCTTTGAAGGTTTTTCCAATCAGTCGCCTGTTACGTGTGGCATGTTGCTCACACTTGTGTCTTTCATACAGTAACTGATGATGAAGAAGTTGAATTTGACCTCTAAGGATCTCTATTTCATCTACTGGAGCATCACCTGTGATTGATAATGTAGACCAATCATTATTACAATAACTACATGTATTGATATAATAAGCATTTGAGAATATAGTAGTTTTTTTTGAGACATTCAAGGATCTCTAAAGAAGAAAGACCAGATTAAATTTTGACAAACTTTCTTAGTTAAAAACGTCTCTTGATTGCACTTTCAGAGTTGTTTTTATTAAGCTGTCTTTATTGTACACTTTAACTACCAACACTTAATACTCTTTACTCTACATGTTTTTCATTATCTTTTTCGTGTATCACACTTCATTACACCTTGACTGATACACTTCGTTTCACAGGTTTATGAAAACCACTCCAAATTGTTCGAAATTGTTTGTTGCAAGTTTTTTACTTTGTAAAAACAACAAATCAGTAAAAGAAAACATTACCTCCAAAATGTGACCAGTCTGTTTCAGGTGAGCTTATGAGAGACAGGCTGCAGCAACAAAGAAAGTTTATTAACATATGTTGTAGTTCAGGTTCAATATGATTTTGAACCAGTTCAATTTCTTCTGAACTAGTTCAGTTTATTTTGAGCCAGTCCAATATAACTCAATCCAGTACAAATCAGTTTAGGTTTAGGGTTAGGTTAAGGGTTGGGAATAGGGTTGAGCCAGCATTATATAAAACTTTTCTTCATTAATAAATTACAATTAAGATAAAAACAATTTGCAAACATTACTACCAACAAAATCCTTGATGGTATAATTGKTAGTACTGTGGACTATGAAGCAAGAGTTCAGTGGTTCAAACCCTGATGAAGGTAAGTGTTATTCATAAATTAAAAATATAGAAAATATCATGTTCTAGATATTTATGGTCAAAGTCAACACTTCTGAGTTATCATTTCTTCTGTAGCATGACCCTGTAAACAACTGCCTTGTTCAGGGTTCAAAATGGTGGCCAGCTAATTTTATCATCATTGMCAAACAAAATTTGTTTGAAATTAAACTATTTTCATCTTGTAAGCAGCCTGCAACAAAAAAGACACACCCAGGGCTCAAAATAATGGTCAGTCAAAGGACAATGTTCTTCCAATTCTCTAGATGACCAGACAAATCGGATTTTGAAAGGACAAATTGACCTGACATATTTTTAGACAAAAACACATTTTTAGGAAAAAAAAACAAAACATTTTGCTATTTCATTGTGCTATGATTTTACTGTAAGTAATCATGGTTTAATTGTAATTTATAGATTTATTGTAATTTAGAATTTATATTGTAACTATGCAATTTATATTTTAGTTCCATCTGTGTTGATTTTATTTAAGATGCATTAATAAACCTGGTTAAAAGAATGCCATTGAAATGTTTGCTGATCTTTCTGAATACAAACATTTATAAATTAAAAGAAAATAATGGTGTACAGTTTTTGTCCTTTCAAAATTCAACATGACCTTCCAAAAATGAATTTACAAGGACATCTTTCCTGCATATGTCCAGCCATTATTTCGAGCCCTGTACACCCAAAACACCTGCAATTTCTGCATYACTGTAAAAATCATATATTTTAAACCCTGTTCTTAGGGAAGCATGTAACAAACCTACCTTGTCAACTCAGTCAGGTGAACACTGGATCCAATCTGAATATAACTATCCAATATTTCAACAGGAGTTGGTTTACTTGAAGTATAGTTTTTACTACATGTATAACCATGACTACTGCAGTCATCAAATTGTTCCTGACGTTGTCCATTTTGTGACATAAACAAATTCAGTGAGTCTTTTTGTCGTTTATCTTCTTGGTGAGCAGTGTCGGAGCCTATAGCATTTGGAGTTTGAGTTTCCTGTGACTGACTTAAATTTGACACCTTCTCAGTTTGGTTATCATGTGTTTTAGCAACAAAACTAATTCCCTCTTTTGAATTTGTACTGCTTATACTCTTGTTTAGATGATTGCAAGCAGGTTCATCTTTTAATAAATTAGCATCATTACTTTCTGTTGATTTAAAATTGTCATGATTGAAGTTACCATCTGCTATAAGTGAAACTTCAAGGCTTGGTGGAGGGTTGTCAGGCACTGTCTCCTCCCCTTCCTGGGACACAAACTTTGTTCCGCTTAATATCCGTTTGATTTCCTTAGCAACATTCTCACTTGTGGTCTTTGTGTGATCACCACAAGTTAACTGTTCCTCTTCCTCGTTTGTTGTCTCTGATAGGACTTTGTCTCCATAGTCATAATTGCACAATTTATCAATTGGTGTCACAGGTTCTGAAGGTAACGAAATTTCAGACTTTAAGTCTTCTTCGATTTTTTCATTCAGTCCATCAAGATTATTGTCTTTTCTTTCAGATTTYGGAGTTGAAGTTTGATTATCACTTAGTTGTGGTGAACTATTTACTTTGAGATCAACTTTACTTACATTAGTGTCAATAAAAGGAGATTTTGTGATATGTGTGCTTTCACATGATTTTGTATATGAAGCCTTCCCTGTGGAGCCCCTTTTGGGTTTATTTCTTAGAAAAGCAGTCTGAATATTGTGAGCCAAGTCTCCTGCTAAAGATGAAGTTGGCGATTCTCCTGGAGTGCTTATTAGCACAGGAGTACAGCAATGTTGAGAGACAGAAAGACTAGCTTGGGTTAATGATAGGTCTGGTTGGCTTGTTGCTGGTGACATGTGCTCTGAAGGAGGAGTTGAAAGTCCACATACTTCAGTTGGACTCCAGGTATTAGCACTGTCATCCAATGTTAAATTCAGGGGTTTGGTGTTGCAGTGGTGACCAGTTTGAAGTGACTTTCCAGTTTGTGTTGCTGAGTCTGACATTCTTCGCTCATTGATGCGAGGTATTTCATAACCCTCTTTTGTATGGTCGCCAGATGTCGTTAAAACTGATGGGACAGACTTATCCAGAGTAAGAGCTTCATGCCAGGATGTCCAGGATGTAGTAAGTCCACTGTCAGTTTGTACTCTGTCTATTGGGTCAAGGGAAATGCTTTGACATTCTATAACAATATCCTGTGGTTCTTTTTTTCTCCATCTATAAATTAGAATCATCAATAGTAATCAATATTGTACTTTAGGTGGTACAAATAGTTGAGCTATGGGATATGTTTACTTAATAAAGACAATCACTTACCTATGCTTGCCAATTTCTGACTGTGTTGTCTCGGTAACCAAACAGGGATGCAGTCTCACATGTTCTAACATAGGCTAATGYGATGAAAGAAGTTAAAAAAGATCAAAATGTTTAAAGGCTGCTAGCCAGTACATGCACCTTCACAAGGTTTTCTCCTACTATAAACATGGATGTCCACTGGACGTATCACTGGACTCAATATGGACATTTTGTGCACAATGGTTGTTGTAAATGACCTTGCATTTCTGATAACCTCTAAAAATCTCTCTCAAAGCCATTTATATTCCTTCTTTGAAGAAAGGACACAACTTCTTTTATAAACATGAAGAAATGCAAAGTCTACAGCTCCAATCATGCTTTGTTGCATAAAAATGTTGCAGCCTATTAAAGGTACTTACTTTAATTGTAGTTTGGAAGAAAATCTGTTTGCTTCTACYATTGTGATGAAATCCCCTCAAAAACATAACAAAGTTGTTTGGATACATGGCATAGATACGATGGAAATAATAATAGACAGCAACGTGTAGATGCAGTAAGTAAACATCAGGAATGTTTCCTAAAATGCAATAAGATCAGCAATAAAAGTTTATAAATATGCAATCTATAGTCAGGTACTTCAATTTCTTACAATATTTCATCCAATATGGGAAGTTTTTGTGGACTGGGTACGAGTCACTTTAAAAGAGGTCACCAAAATATTAACACATATAATAAGATAATGCAGGAAGCCAAACATTACCATAATGTAACACAGGGAGTCCAAATATGAATACGATAAGACAACAGAGGTAGTTCAAATATCAAAATGATAAGGTACCACAGGGGTTCCAAACATAAATATGAAAAGTTASCACAGGTAGTCCAAGTATCAATGACAAGGTACCACAGGGAGTCCAAAWATTACAAATTACCAATGTAACACAAAAATATCCAAATACAATTTAGTCTTTATAAGTGTCTATCTAACCTGGTCTGTTATTCAAAAAGGCAGCCAATCGTGTGTAAATTTCAAAGAAATCATGTAACCAAGACTCAACGTATGTAGCAATCAAAGGAAGAAGAGTGGTGAGGGCCAAAATACCATTAATTAACAACAGTACATCRGACTCGGTCTGTTACAATAGAAATAGAACAAAATATGAGATTGTAAAGACCCTTTTACACTGGCAATTTTTACAGCAATTTTTGTGATTATTTTGATACTAGAGAATAATAGAGATTAATGTTAAAGAATKAACTTGTAAACTTTTATTCAGAACAATGAGATGAGCTAACTGAACGTCTTCTCAATAGGATAAGTCAAAATCTATTATTACAGTACAAAATTGCAGCACAAATTGCTCCCAAAATAACCAGTGTAAACAGGTCTTAAAAATGTAATGGAAATTCTGAGCAGCAGACAAAATGAATGCATACTGAATGCAAGAAAACTGGAAGAAATGAAAATAAGAAAGATGCCTTCAATTATATAACAATTGAAACACCTAAAAAAATATAATTTGAAGTTCTATATAGACTATTATAAAGTTTTATAAAATATTTAAAATGTTATATGAATAAATAAAGTAAAACATTTCATTTATTTTTCTATAAATTCAAACAATAAAAATAAAATGACAATTTACATACCTTTAAGCATTTGATGACATTTTCAAAGAGAGAGGTTTTTACAATTTTATACAACCACGATGGCTACAAATGAAAACAAAACAAGTTTTTTTTTAACATAGAAGACATTTGAGGACAGTTGTGTCCAACTATGTTTAATCTCGAATAAGTTGAAGTGGAATTGAGAAATACTGTATTGCAACATACTACAAGATTGTCATCCATAAATCTATGAACATATAAGGAGAGAGATCAACATCCACAAGGTAAGTACACAAGTAAGTCAGAACATTTGATATCAAGAATGTTAATATTTATTGTACTGTCATTTTGTCTCCAACTGTGTTTATCTCACTTGAAATGATGTGGAATTGAGAAATACTGTATTGCAACATACATTTGAATAAAGTCTTTAATATATGCAATGAACACAAGGGAGAGGTTAACATTCACACGGTGGACCCCAGTCAGGGTTCAAAATGTAATACAATGTATTTTAAAAACATGTAACTTTTGATTTTAAAAARCACTCCCTCACTAATCAATTTAATCGCCAGCCGCGTGGTCTTTACTTGATTCATACGAATACAATGCGGTTTTGCAGAATTGYCATGCACGTGGAAATATTTGAGCGACATGCAGGCTTATGTTTCATTGTGCTCACCTGTTTCCGTACGATGTGGCCAAGAAGTGAAAAGGTATCAACTTTACGTCGCAAACCATGGTGTTTAAGACAGTCGTTTAGCTTATCAAATAAATGCTGAAAAAAAGAACATTYGTAAACACTGGATTTTAACGTGGAGCGCAGACGACAAAGGACATTTCAATTAGGAAAAGTCACGAAACAACAAATCAATTATGATAATTTATGGGATTATATTATAAGCTCCAACATGGAAAGGAATRAATGATTATTGAATTTTACCGGATACATTTGACTTAACTTACATTAATTCTCGCTTCGTGCACATTAGTCAAAATCTGCAGAGCCATCGTCGAGCGCGTATCTAGAAAACAATCAACTAAAGCATACAATAAACTCGGGTCCTTTGAAGTGTATAAATTCTCCTGTATTAAAGACTTTGTTTGTTCAACTGTCTCTGAATTATCTGAATCCAGCAGAGCAATCAACTCCGAAGGCCTGTCTAGAGCAGTTGCCTCGTTGCTTGACGTGGAACTCGGCCCGCTACTCATGTTCTGAACTTAGCCAGCCGCGCAGTCGTTAAATAAGTAAGTGGGATCGACAAAATTTGAGCCAATGCATCCAGAAGCAAGGCTGAGTCTATATGTAGTAACTTCATSTGATTAGAAAGTAATGYGAGCCATWCCAACGACGCTTTGCATCCACCGTACGTCCAAAACTTGCTCATCCGCCATTATCTTTTCGAATTTAGTAACATCACGTGCTGTCTACGCATTACGTCACACTCTGCTGACCAGGGCAAAGGCAGCAATTTTCAGATAATTTTTCTGCATTTTTATTGTATTTTATCAACACAGAAAAACATTGAGAAATTAATGTAAATTATAGGGAAACTGTAAGAAATCAGAAACAAAATCAAGATGCGTTTTGCATGTGGATTTCTGCGGAACTATTCTCATTATTTTGGTCTTCCTGTGGTAAAAAATTGGCGCAAGTGATCATGGGTACATTTATAGCAGTTGCATTGTTGTGCAGCTGCTGCAAGAAGGGATGGACGCTACTTGGTTTTAGCATTTTTTGGTTGAATTTTGGTGGGCCAAAAGTGCATCTTATCAGAGGTAGGCGGTAAAACAAGGCAGAAAAACATTCTKTAAAGCATTCTTTTAGTTCCTTTTTTAAACATAATCTTAAAATGCKAAGAAATTCCATTCAAGTTTTGGCGCCATTTTCTGGCGACCAAGCTTCAAGGAAGTCGAACACATTTTTTATTTTAGATTCTTTTTCAAGAGCTTTTGTGAAATGGCTCAAGGAATGAAACCACACAAGTCATTGTTTTTAAAAGAATTAAAATTCATTGACGTTTCGTTATACTTGAATAGCGGGGTCGAACTGAGGTTCTCGACTCGAGCCAAGTGCACGTCTACGGTAGCCGTACGAGTCCTTTTATTCGTACTGACATTGAAATATTATGAATGTTTTGAAGTAATTATGTAAGATATTAAATCAAAAGTATTGTTGTTTTGTTTAGAGTTAAATAACAATTCTATAAAGCTTCAAATCTCGTGAATTTACCATGTACACGTATGATGATCCTTGCATAAGCGACGCTTGGTGAAATTTCGCAGACTCCGATGTCAGATATTTCGTAGTGATAATACTAGAATATGTCCTTAATAACTGCTAAATTTGCAACTTTTTTCATTGCGTTCATTAAGGTAATTTTAAGTAAATCATTTTGCTGTAAAAATAGTCGCATTTCGGCTAATATTTAAGGAAAAATCATTGTACTTACGAAGCCGCACATGCTATTCATACGGAAACTCTTTCGAACTCAAAACTGCGTGAATTTGCTTTCAAAGTATTTCTCAAATCTTAAAGAATTTGTTTYGATGCTTATAAACCTTCTGTGAATGTCTCGATGCCATTTCTATGGAATTTAAGTCTCTTTTCTCTTTGCATTTGTTGTTGAAAGCATACTTTGCATGGCACAAATTACTGAAGACATGATAATCAAGTGATCCTTGCATCTCTGTTACAAATAGTTTTTGTGAACCACGAGCATTCCAATTTGAAAATGACTACTGGTAGTTGCATCAGATGTCTGATAGTAGAAGTGGGGTGGCGTAGCGACAAAAAAATCGCCTTTATGTGCACTTTGGCGTACATGCATCAAACTTCCACAGATGTTCCTTTGGTCAATCCAACAATAGTCCAGCTGCTGAGTGAAATATTGTACCTTTTTTGAAGAAAGCACCAAACTTGGCATACATACTAAGAAAAATATACTCAACACTTTTGGACTTAATGCCAAGCGAGATTCCTTCACGTTCTTGAGTTATAAGGGAATAAAGTTTTAGCAAATTACACAGGGAGCCCAACTAATAAAAAATGTCTAAAATAGCTATAACGATTTTAATTGCCACCAAAACTGAACAAATGTCTTCTATTAATACAAATGATTGATAAAAAAGATTTTGTCGTTTGGTAATTTAATTTGAAAGTAATTATTGCAGAAAAGCGACTAAACAGGCACAGGGAGCCCTTTTTAACTCGGAGATTGCGTAAGCAATCGTAGAGTTGTTGGGAGGGCACAGGCTGTCACTCGATCACTTTCCTGTAAACTCGAGCCTGCGATGTCTCTGTCAGCAGTTATTCATTTAATCATATTAATGTATTCTACTTAATTATTATTTATCATATCTAATTTTTCTTTACTGGTTTCCCTGTGCTATATCAGATTGAACTGATTTATTTTTTGGCAAATAAAGAAATCAAAGAAATGGGTCATCTGGGATCTGAACCCGGGCCCGCTGGATTGGAAATCAAAGGCACTACTGCTAATGCTACACAATTCCGGCTAGACTTGTCTTTTAACTGATGRGCGCTCGCCCGTGCTTGTCTAGAATTCGAAGTTAAAACTATAAGATTTTAACGAAAAAATCTGCATTCAAATATCATTTAATTATTGTTCAATTGTTATTTCCTGACTTCCGACAATTCTTTTGACAAGCTGATTGCAGATATCTTTCTACTTTCTGATTGCAATGGTATTTACTAATCGGCGATGATTTGTGTGAACTGAAATATCGATGGGATTCCTAATGCAATCTGCAAATCGCGATTTTCATGCAAGCAGCAGTATTGTTATGAATCTGGAGAAGTAACTGTTCGCTTTGTGATGTCAAAAGCAAAGGTGACCCCTCTTCATTCAATAAGCATACCAAGATTAGAATTAATGGCACCTGTAGTTGGTTTACAAATAGCAGAGAAAGCTGTAAGCATTTGTGGACTARCSATCAACCAGGTAACATTTTGGTCTGACAGTCATGATGTTCTCTACTGGGTTCGTGGAAAATCACGTCAATTCAAACCATTTGTTGAAAATAGAGTTGGGGAAATCCAATCCAAGACCGATCCAGCGCAATGGCGTTATGTTCCAACAAAGATCAATCCTGCAGACAAGTTAAGGCGAGGTTTACCTGCAAGGACACTAGTTAGCGACAGCATCTTTTGGGAAGGGCCAGAATTTCTTAAGCAGTCCTTTGAAGAGTGACCAGTTATGAATCTCCAGCTATCCCAATCACTAAACTCAACAGCAGAAACCAAAAGGCAGTACCTTGATTGCAGTTTTAGTATTCAACAAATAGACGAAGTGGAGAATAATATGTCATTCTTAACACTACTGACGAAAGAAGACTGTCTCAACCCCACTCGATTTTCAAGTTGGACACGAATGGTACGTGTAGCCGCCTATGTCATACGTTTTGTAACCAACTGCCGTTTAAAGTCAAAGATAAGAGTA